ATCCAAGCATCATTCCATTCATCAAAATTGCATTCGCCCAGGGGGCACGGGTAGCACGGGCACCACGATTCGCTGTACAGAGTTGCATCCCTTGGGCACGCCAGAAACCTGTGATTGTGGGTTCGAATCCCGGTTCGCCCCAATTATGTTTCTAGGTTTGTCAGCACCGTACCTGTGCTCGTGGGTTCAGGCTTTCCTCCCACATAGAGATGACACGCCGTGATATAACTGGAATACTGTTAAAAGTGGCATTAAACCCAACTCACACACTCACATTCTACCACCTAATCAATCCAGCCAGCCAGCCAGCCAGCCAGTCACTCACAAAATACCCATCCACCCCTCCAAATACTCATCCAACAAATTTTCCACCCATCCAAATACTCATCCTCCAAATTCCCCACCCTTCTAAATACCCATCCATCCATCAATTCATTCATCCATCCATCCATCCATCCAATTGCTCATCCATCAAACCATCAAACATCAATCAAGACATCCAACTACTGACCAAGTACCCATCCATCCAAATATTCTTCCATCCCCCGTTCCAAATTCCCATCCCTCCATTCAAACCACAAATAAATCAATCGGCTAGCGATTTAACTACTTGGCCATCAGTCATCTTATTGATTGCTTAAGTGTGTAAATCTGCTAGACTCCATTCTATAAGTTATTCATCTTCCATCCACCTACATCTGCATCTCCCCCCTCCGACTCTTATCGAAGCTATGGCATCCATCACTCCTTTATCACAACCCATAGATCTATACTTGCTAATCTGAACCCACTTCTGAATCATCTGCTCATCCTCATCCTCCTTCCACCCATCTCTCTATCGAGCCAATCAAAGTAGGGATCACACACAATGTCCATCAATATACACCTTTATCTACCTATCCATTTATCCATTAAAGCATCCATCTCTCCATTGACCAATCAACAAGCATGTCCTACTGGCACCTACTGCAAGCCACCAATCAGACAACTCACATCCACATAATACATCCTTCCATGTAGGTAGTAATCCCATCCCTTCCATATTACCCATCTATCTCCCCTATTGGTGTATTGTTCTGTCCAACTCATCCACAATGCCATCCCAATCCTTCCATATTACCCATCTATCTCCCCTGTTGGTGTATTGTTCTGTCCAACTCATCCACAATGCCATCCCAATCCTTCCATATTACCCATCTATCTCCCCTATTGGTGTATTGTTCTGTCCAACTCATCCACAATGCCATCCCATCCCTTCCATATTACCCATCTATCTCCCCTGTTGGTGTATTGTTCTGTCCAACCCATTCACAATGCCATCCCAATCCTTCCATATTACCCATCTATCTCCCCTGTTGGTGTATTGTTCTGTCCAACTCATCCACAATGCCATCCCATCCCTTCCATATTACCCATCTATCTCCCCTATTGGTGTATTGTTCTGTCCAACTCATCCACAATGCCATCCCAATCCTTCCATATTACCCATCTATCTCCCCTCTTCGTGCAATGTTCTGTCCAACCCATCCACAATGCCATCCCAATCCTTCCTTCTTAATTACTCATCTATCTCCCCTCTTCGTGCAGTGTTCTGTCCAACCCATCCACAATGCCATCCCAATCCTTCCTTCTTAATTACCCGTCCACCTATGTGTTCCTTCCATCAACTTATGCACATTTCCATCTCCAATCATTCCATCCATCAACCCACATTTCCATCTCCCCATCAATCCACCTCCTGAAGCTGTGTCACTAGCCAGCCCTCCCGCAGCTCAGATCAGCTTACATGATGTCATCTGTCCGTGAACAGGCAGCTAATCGGCACCCATCATGTCACCGGGTGTTAAGAGCACAATGTGACACTGTGAACACCAACAATGAACCAAACACACAGAGGATGACACACGGCATCATCACCTTCTTTGCTAAGCCCACACAATCTGTCCCTGCCCACTGTCCCCGCCCGCTTCAACTGCCACCTCCATGGAAGCGCTGACCATCCTTCGATCTCATGCCGACGTGCACAAGCAGATATTAGACTAACCTCAGTATCAATGTTTGCAAAAATAATGTTTCATTTTCATTGATGGCGCGGGGAGGAGGTCGAGAATCAATAATCTATCTGGCCGTCACAATAGCGATCCCAATAGCTGCCCCACGTGTTGCCGGAGAATAACGCATTTAACTCGGCACTGCCCTCGAGTGTCTCAATGGTACAGTAGGCGCTGATACAGATGTTTTTAAGGCCTATGTATTAATATACGGGAATGTACAACTAGGTTCTCCATGGATGTACGGCAATTGGCAAGTTTTAGGACCTGATTGCCCGAGCCACAGCAATATTTATCCTGACATGGCAGGTGATTCCTCTAATAGCAGTCTTCATCTGAGCCAAGAGGGCCACAGTCTCACTCTCAGTGTGTGTTTGTTATATATGTGTAGTATTCCATGCACGACATAAGCATGCTGTTTTCAGGTAGGTTGGTCAGGCTGTTTATTGTTGGCGTGTTATTGACCTCGTAGCGCAGATCGGCTGGTGTATTAGTTTTGCAAAATGCATAATTCGTACTAGGAGCTTTCAATTTCTTGACAAGCTGTTGTTAGCGAGTTCGGATCTTAATTAATACCGAGTGAATATTGATATAGTTAGCGGAAATATTGAGCGTGCAATAAATCAGTGTCTGGTAGTTTTTGTTACAATGAGTTGACTGGATACTTCCAAGCTGCTAAGCAAATAAGGCCTATATGATAAGGGTTATGATTGATATCTGTAACAGGGGGATGTTTTTGTAATTGCTTGCAATGTTTGTTGTACTGACCTGAGCTATATAGATAGTATTATGAGTTGGTACATTTATCATTACATAAACGGTAGTATTGTATGAAGCTACTCCTAGTGTAGAAGCACTTTCAGATGTCTCCGATAGTTCACAGTTTCAAGTGGAGGAATTGATTTTGATGTTGCTGGGAAATAGTTTTTTCGGTGTATCTTTGATGCTAATTCTTATATTTTATTGTTTTTTCCTACATTGTGCATACCTTCACAAAATTATCTCAGTCTGTTATAATATGTCCCGGTTATAATTTGGATATGTTGATATATAGTGTAGGTAGATTTGAATAAAGAATTGTGTTTGAATATATGGTTGGGCTTTGTACTTGTAATGATTGTTTTAATTTATGAAGAATCTTCCTGTTTGATAGCTCGAAGTGTTGAATTGATTTACTTTATATCATTATTTCATGTCAAGCTTGTGGAGGATCAGATATCTGTGATCAGTTTTCTACCATTTATGAAAATGAATTATGTAAACACTTTTAAAGTTTGAAAATGGTAACATGTAAGTAACGTTATACATTTGATTAACTAACACATGGCAAGAACACTCACAGTCCTTTTTACATTGTAAAGAAATACATCTGAATATCTCCTTTCATGTCTCTAAATAATTAGTTGAAATAAAACCTTAGTTCGTATGGTTGTCTTATTTATTGCACCTTGTTCAGCTTAAGGATGGACAAAAAATATTCAGGATACATATTATGAGGACAGTTATCTCCCCTTGCCTGGCTGGTAGCACCCAAGGTGCCAATGTATGTATAGATTCCTCGTAAAGATTTCTTTGAAAAAAGGATGTTTATATTCATCATATGATTTGTCATACATTAAAATTATATCAGGCTTATGTATATAGACAAGCTGAGGCAATATTTTTTATTTACGGTGTCAGTGTTCTAATAAAAACAATTACAGCTGAAAAGTTTGTCACTGTTTCACCTTTAGTGCCCAATTGCATTTATTATTTACATTATCAACATTCTAATTACAAAATATGCTGCTGAAACGTTACTATTTCAGCGTACACTGGCCCAATTTATCTTCCGTCTTAATAATTCCTTCTGGTATTATCGTAGCATCTATTTTGCTAAGTGTTTGAGAAATGATGCTATCTCCTGGTCGCATGTGGATGCTAGAGATGCTGATGCTGTCAAAGAATTTGCAAAATAAGAAGCATCATGGAGAGATATTCCATTAATATTTCATCGACAATCTTTGATACAGCTCCTTAAATTGATGTATTTAGTATTGATTCTGTGTGTTAGCTGATGGCTGTTGATTTAGAAGCTGATCACAAATATCCTGACTTTATTATAATGAGCTGGCTGAGTGATAAGAGTTCCAGACTGTCACACCTACAGCTTGGGTTTGATGCTGTCATCCGGCTGTGATCTTTGAATTTCAGGTTTTGGTGGGCTCTGCTATTCTGTAAAAAGCATAAATAAGACATTTTTTGGTGACAGACCATGGATTAAATGTTCTGTTTTAAAAAAAAAAAATTCTCACAACCACTCACTCTTTACGATATAAAAATGTACATTTGAAGTCCTTTTTAGATAAACAATTTTTGACAGGTGTCCAGTGTAGGGTTATTGTGTAGATTCAAGTCTGTCCTAATCATCCTTTCAGAGTGAGTGAATGTGGTCCCATATTGATGATATATCAGGTACCGTATTTGACGTAATAAGCACTCCACGGTGATACTTTGTGATATATCAGAAAGTGAACAATCCCAATTAGCACCCCTTCCGATTGATCAATGTAAACAGGACTCAAATTTATTCGTGTATAATATGCACTCGTTTATATATGCACACTTAATTATGGGCAATTAAATTCTGGAAAAATATATCTGTCATATATAAACATTTCAGGCTGTCAGCATAAACCACGAAATAAACAATCTTTCAACTCTGTTTTTTCACCAAAATGATATTTCTAATTTTGAGAATGACCTGGGCGCTTATTATGTAGAATATGGTAAACATAGTTAATTGCCTTGGATGAGCAGATAGTAGGGTGAACTTAACAATGTACTTCTGAATGCTATGGCGCTAATGTATTGACACTGCATGAACGCATATTATTTCTGCTATCAGCAATCTTTACCAAAAAATAAAATGTGTTTTATGTTCATTTTGTAATTATTTCTATGTTTCAGATGTTGGATCGAGAGCGATGAACACTTCTTGGTAGTGTGGACAGACTTGAACCAGCCCGATGTAACTGTCGGTATCTATTGATATCTCTCTGCCATGACTGATATGGACAGACATATTCATCAAACCAATGACAGACTCGCTTGTATCAAACAGGTAATATACATTCGTTTTTCATCTTTGAGGACTGCCTCCGTGGTCTTGTGGTAGAGCGTCCGCCCGGAGAGCGGAAGGTCCAGGGTTCGATCCCGGGCCGCGTCATACAAAAAGACGTTAAAAGATTGTACTTGTTGTTACCCTGTCTGGCGCTTGGCATTAAGGGGCTAAAACAAGGACTGGTCGGCTCAGAGTCAGTATACTGTGTCTGAGTGGGGTATTCATGTTAAACTGCGGCATGGTATCTCAGTGAGCTAGCACTATAAATCGGCATCAGTCCGGACTAGTACAAGCAGCCACACACACACATACACGTGCATGCACGTCGCTATATAAGTGCAATAATCTTGGATGCGACGTTAAACCCAATTTCACCTCACCTCATCTTTGAGATCATATTGGACAGTTTTGAAGACAACAGTTTACTTTAGAAAATCTTGCATCACAACATGTTATCAGTTCCTAAACTCAGAGCCACGTGAAGATCCAGGCTAGAATTGGTCTTCAGCAACCAATGTTTGTCATAAGAGGCGACTAATGGGCGTCATGTTTGTTGACTTGGTTGATGCATGTCATCGTATCCCTAATGGGTAGATTGACACTCATGATATCAATCACTGGATCATCTGGGCCAGACTGAATTATTTACAGACCGCCATCATATTGCTGAGTGTGACGTTGAACAACAAAACTGACCTTGTCCTTTCACTATGTGCAATTTTATTTATGAAAATAATTTGGAAAAGGGGGGATAACTCTACAAAGAGATTATATCCAAACATAATCAGACTAATGTAATATGTCCGTACATTCTTCATGAAATAGGTAATAATGGCTTGAAATAAAACTGGTCAAAATATTTATGGATATTAAATAATGTAAAGCCATCTCATTTTCAAATTCCGAATGCACTCTATGATAACTCACTCAATCACTCAATCACTCAATCCACTCACTCAATAAGTGTCAATCATATGTATGAAAGAGATGTTATTCAGATCGAAATATAAAACTATGTCATCACACCTAGAAAGCAAGTCTGTATCATACCAGCAAACTTTCAATACTGTTTATTGATCAGAATGGAAATAAATGGCAATGATTTCAAATTAATTCACCTGTAGTGCGACAGATGGCAACTCGCACACAAACAGCATTGTATGTCCCCAACACAAGATACCGACCGCTGTGCTACAGTCATTTCTTAGACCACTTCAACCCTGTTCAGCTTTACCTACACCGGATTGTTTCAATCACAAAACATTTGGAGGCCATTAACGCACAAGATCAATTTTTCATGACGCATAAATCAACTTTCTAACCTCTTTTGTCATTAGGAGAATCTGATTATTGGGCGAGAGATACGTTACACCTGATTGTGTTTGCGTTGAGCGAAATCGAGGCAGTAGCTTCCCTTCAATCAAGTCAATGCTGTTGTCGTGACCAGTGCCAATATTTGGTTGTTGGAATCTGCCTGAATTCTTGTAGGCTTCAAGCCAAGCACTAAGAGTTTGTGCATTAGTTTGATTAAATCGAGTCCCCAGAGGAGTTAGACAGAGCCTACTTTGTGGCTGTATATGCAGCAGGTCTAGAGTATAGTCCGGTGTTGCCAGACTGCCACTTAGCACTGACTTAGGCTTTCTTGTCCCACATACTGTTTTTCATGGATGATTACAGCTTGCAGATTGTAATTCTGGTGTATTGTCTACCCTATGTAAACGAGATTTGTGTTGGCAGATTAAGCCAGAACAAGTTTATCCATTTTCGGAGGAATCTACTTCTTCACTCCTAAGCATTACACATTCCCACTTTGATATTCTTGTGGGGCAGGCTGCCTGTTGGTCATGGGGGTGGTCAGTTTGTTGGGGTGTTGAGGAGCTGGGGTCGTGGAGGGAGGTCCAGTTTGGTTGGTGACGAGGGGCTGGTTTGGTCATGGTTTTGAGGGTGAGGAAAAGGGGTTTTGGTAGGGGGGCAGTTTCGTTGTGATGAGGGATCTGGGAAAAGGGTGGGTCGGGTGGTCCGTTTGTTAGTTGTGTTGAGGGGTGGGGGTCATGGTTGGTGGTCCAGTTTGGTTATGGTGTTGACAGATGGGTGTGGGCTGGTACTAAATATATTAGGGATGTTGGGAAACATGCATCAGTGGCAATAAGACTCTTTGACAAAGTAAAACTCTATACATTTCTTTAAAGGTCAACAAGTCATATATCAGTGATCAGATAGCAAAGTAAGAGAAATTTAAAAAAGGAAATAATTAAAATAGGTGATATTAAATCTTTCACAAATGACATTCATGCAAAGACATGAGATATTTTAGACACGATCTTTCCACAATCTGTATTTGTGCCTGAAAATATCTTTAAACAGCCCTCAGAGAGGATGGCTAATGCCCTCTTTACTTACTGGCAGTGTGATGGAATCTATTTCCAGCACAGCCGATTGTGTAATATCAGACAATTGTCAATGTCCACTTTCAGACATCCATTATCTATGTTCTCGATTAATTTGTGTGCATCAAAGCCAAAACGGACAACAAATCTACTTGATTGATTTGTTAACACTGAAGATAGGGAGGAGGAGGATAGAGTGCAAATCTATTCAATGAAATTATAATAATGCTGTGGTAACATTGATGATGATAATGAGCAAATCATTATTTCTGTCAAAAGATAATATTTTATTGTCCTGACATATATTAAATTTGCTAAAATCATCACCCTGGGTGAGGGATATACAAATTAAGTTGGTGCTTTCAGTTCAAGCATGTGTTCACCATCACCTAGAGCTTGGTAACAACCACCTCCTGTCACCTCCTACCGGGTACCCACTTACTGCTGTATGACTTTCCTATTCGAAAAATATAATCAGTTAAGTATGTGAGGGTAATGACCAAATAAAGTCCAAGACCCACTGTGCGAAACTTGATCGTTGACTGATGCACAGATTGAATGAATGTTGTTTTATGACATAGTCTGAATTTTCATCTGTATCAATGCAGCCTGTAACTGGCATGAGCAATGCTTGGCACCATCACAGAATGCTACAATCAGCCTTGTCACACATTGATAGCACTTGGTTCTCTTTAGTGAGGTGACAAAGATGGGGTCGCGAGGACATCTCCAGCAGTAGTGTCGTTTCAAGCTATTTGCTATCACTTCATGCTTGTTTACTTGTTTGGTAATGCTGCATGCAATACTAGGCATGACTTCTTCTTGTTTAACATGGTTTACAAATCTGTCTACTCCCCAAAATTGAAATGTGAAACAAAATAATGAAAAGTAGTGGGGTTTCTTTTTCCGCCAAACAGAAATATGTTATTAAAAATGTTTTTAAAAAAAACTCATTTACTGTTGGTACCTATATAAATAAATAAATTATTAATTATAACCTGTTGAAAATGTATCTTCAAAACATCAATTTCACCAAATTAGGACAATTTACAAGGAAACATAAAAAAGATGTTTTTGAAATTGGAATATTTTTATTGATTTCTTTTACCTACTGATCTGAAGGTTTGGGCCCAAAATCCATAAGCCAAAAATAAAAAAGAATCCTGGGCCTCACAGATGAAGAACATGAGCCTGTTCTGGGCCTTACATCTGAAGAACATAAGCTTGTTCTTGGCCTTACAGCTGAAGAACATAAGCCTGTTCTGGGCCTTACAGCTGAAGAACATAAGCCTGTTCTGGGCCTTACAGCTGAAGAACATGAGCCTGTTCTGGGCCTTACAGCTGAAGAACATAAGCCTGTTCTGGGCCTTACAGCTGAAGAACATGAGCCTGTTCTGGGCCTTACAGCTGAAGAACATGAGCCTGTTCTGGGCCTTACAGCTGAAGAACATGAGCCTGTTCTGGGCCTTACAGCTGTATGACAGCGGCCCGTACATGACCAGGTCAGGCCTGACATACTAGTGGTTGATATTATGAGTAATGATCCACGCCATGGTATACAATGCCTTGCAATCCACGTTACTGAGTCACTTCTCACGACAAGCATAGGTTGCTTGGGACCAATTCTAAACCTGACTTCATCCCCACAGAAATTGTGTTAGTGGTGATGATGGTGAACCCAAATTCACTGAGACAGCTGCCTGACTTTAAGTCATAAAAAAATGTAGGATTTCATTAAGATAATGCTATTTCTAGAACTCTCTGAACACCAATTTCCAGCTGTAGATGTCTTGCAATTGAAAACACTGTTATGTCATTAACAAAAGTTAAATAGTGCCAACAATGTTTTTCCATTGTTAATAATGAGGTATTTTACATTTGAGAAAACAGCTTATTGCTCTATGGTTTTCAAGAGTAAACAATAATGTGTTTACTGACTATAGTCACAATAAATGACATATTCTAAAATGCTAAAAGTATTTTTCATTATTTTAAAATTTGTTAATAGGAAAATACTCAAATCACTCAGGAAAAGACTTCAAATTATGCAACTGACACTTAAGCCTACAAGTATAAGTGTTATCAAAGACGAGGCTTCAGTGGTATATTTTCAAAGATGAGGTCTTCAATGATGTAATGTTATCAAAGATGAGGATTCAATTGCATGTAAGGTAAAGTCAATCACCAATGAAGTTGATGTTATCAATCCTGTTAATTCTAAAAAAGGTTTCAAATCATCTTAATGCCCATCAAAGAGGAGCCCTCAAATTACAAAATGGACATCAAATCCTGAAAATCATGGACCTCAAATCATATAAATGTTTACAACGATAAGACCACTGTCATGTAAAGGCTCATAAGACCACTATCATGTAAAGGTTAATAAGACCACTATCATGTAAAGGCTCATAAGACCACTATCATGTAAAGGCTCATAAGACCACTATCATGTAAAGGTTCATAAGACCAATATCATGAAAAGGCTAATAAGACCAATATCATGAAAAGGCTAATAAGACCACTATCATGTAAAGGCTAATAAAACCACTATAAAGTAAAGGCTCATAAGACCACTATCATGTAAAGGCTAATAAGACCACTATCATGTAAAGG